TTATTTTCACCCTCTAAGGTACCTCCTGCTGTTCTTCGGGTTTGCAAGATAAATGCTTTAACTCATTACATTTACATAAATCCCCTTGCAGCACCTTTGTCTTTTATCAGGGCACAAACAAAATAAATTGATTTTCTAAAGTCTTTCTAACTTTTTTTTTTGCAATTAGTACACTTACATTTATTCTTTTTATTAAATTCAGTTTTGCAACATGTAAAATATCTTATCAACTTATTACCATAAGTATAGATTTAAGAATCAATTAAAGTTTGGAAATTTAATTTCCTCCTTCATGAATATAATCCACCTCTTCTCACCTTCTGCATGATATCTACTGCTTTTATTAAATCAAACAATCCTGTGCCCTGAGGTTGAGGTGCTGAGCCTTAGAATGGCCTGAAAAATAAAACAGAAAGTGTATACAGAGGATTGTGAACTCCTTTTTAAAAATAAAATGCCTGACATGCATTTCCTTTAATGTGAATTGTTCATCCTCTGTCAGTTTGCAAGTTGACATGTAATATTACATTGCAATAAAGAGCAATCTCCACTCTTTACTATACTCATTAAATAAATTAGAATAACGAAATCTATGCACATGTCTGTGCTTACTGTGTTGAGTGTGCCCTAAAAAAAAGATGGGGTGTTTTGTTCTTCCTCTCTTCCATTGTCTGAAAGGTGAGAGACTTAACTTTAGGACAAATTATCAAATGCAAATGGCCTTGACACCACCCCTAGCCTTCGTCCTTCAGTATCTTTTCACTAGCTCACTAGAGTGTCTTAAAAAGTGGTCCTGCTGATAGACAATCCATTTAGGGGGCTCTTCCCTATTTCTCTTGCTCTCAGTATTTCTTAGTTGCCTGTGGTCCTTGGTCTAGGGTTGAGGAGGCCCCATGAGATTATTTCCATGTTAACATGCCTATTGATGTCATTCAGAAAAGTGAGCAGATTTACAAGCTACATGATTGTGGCCTGGTAAACTACTCCTCCAGTGATAAGACCTCTCAGAAAAAAAAGTACAGTATCACACTAAGGACTAATTATTACACCTCTCTTTCTAGCACAGCTTAAATTGAGTCAGGTTTCCTAGGGATGGTCCCTTGGCCAAGTGAATAACCAGATCCACCAGGAATGTTAGGTTTCCACCCAGGCCAGAGATGCTCTTCCTCCTCCTCCTCCTCTTCTTTTCTTCCCTCTTTTATTGAAAATAAATATTTTTCTTCACATAATATATCCTGATTACATTTTTTCCCTCCCTCTACTCCTCCTAGTTTCTCCTTACTTCTTCTTCTAACCAGTTCCACATCCTTTCTGTCGCTCCTTAGAAAACAGTCAAGCTTCTAAGGGATTAAAAAAAGAAAATATATGACAAGATAAAATAAAAACTAACATATTGGAGTTGGATAAGACAAACAAACAGAAGGAAAAGAGAGACATACTCAGTTGCACACACAGAAATTGTTATGAATTATGCCCCCCAGCTGGTCAGGCCAGGGTATCCCAATCATGCAGGGAACCATGCTGGCATGCTGCACAGATGCAGCAATGGGCCAGTGGCGACCCACTCCGTGCGAGCATGGCAGTGGGGTGGTAGGTGGATGTTCACAACCCAGACACTGCATCTGCATGGAAATGGTTTATTATAATAGAGAGATGAAGAGAAGATAGGAAAGAAAAGAGAAAGAGGGGGGGACAAGGGGTACACACCTTGTGGGAGTGGAAGGGGGGAGAGAGAGAGAGAGAGAGAGAGAGAGAGAGAGAGAGAGAGAGAGAGAGAGAGAGAGAAAGGGGTGTAGCTGAAAGTTTTCCTGTGTCCCACCTGGGCCTCAGTCAGGACAAATCTCTCCTACCTACCAGTCCCACAGCTGCTCAGAACCAAGTAAACACACAGAGGCTTATATTATTTTTATATTATGGCCATGGCAGGCTTCTTGCTAACTAGCTCTTACATATTAAATTAACTCATTTCTATAAATCTATACTTTGCCGTGTGGCTCGTGGCTTACCGCTACCTTTATATCTTACTTCTCTTGGTGGTGGCTGGCGGTGTCTCCTCTGCTCTGTCTTTCTTCTTCCTCTCTCTCTAGTTAGAATGTCTTGCCTAACCCTATTCTGCCTCACCATTGGCCAAACAGTTTTATTTATCAACCAATCACAGCAACATATATTCACAGCATACAGAATGACATCAGCCATCATTTCCCCTTTTCTTTCTATTCAAAAGGAAAGTTTTAACTTTAACATAGTAAAATTACATATAACAAAACAGTTATCAAGCAAGAATTATAGTTATAATATCTAGTCTTTTTGTATTTGGCAAAATTAAAGAAGATATCATATCTACCCTGTATTTGTGAGTCTAAGGTTTCACCTTATCTCTTATCATAACCAAGTAAAACCATAATTGTAACTATTTAGTCTTCAACTACATCAAAGACCTCAGAAGGATACAATATTACCTAAGTAAACAGGAACTGCATTATAAGCAACTTCCAAAAATCTAGAATGACGGAGACAGTTGGATGCCTGGACAGTCATCCAAAGTTCCTCTGTAATGTTGGAGCATCACATTCAACCCATAGGCCTAGAGTCTCTCAGTCACTTTTTTCTGTGTCCTGTAGAATGTCTAGTCATTTCTTCTGTGGAGCAGGAACCTAAAGGACCATTGTGCCTTGCAAAGTTCAGTGGTCACCTTTCTGTGGGACCTGCATATCCAGTCAATACAACATTTTGTCAAGTAGTCCAGGCAAGAACAGTTTTTTGCCCAAATGGCTATTTTTGCGAAGAAGAAGATAAACTCCCTATGGAGTGTCTCTGACACCCATCTTTCCCTTTGAAGTAAATCAGTGCTGCCAGGAGTAAATGTGTCTCATTGTCCAGGAAAGTCTAAGTTTTTAAAACATTTTCAATGCCATATTCTGTAGGTCTTTGAAGTGAAGATTATCTACTTAATTAAAGTATATCTATGTATACCTAGAAAACTTAACATGACTATAAATTTATCATAGAAGACTAATCTGTATTTCTTACTTATCCATTACAATTTAAACAAACTGTACAAACATAATACCTTAAACAAGAATATATATATATAATAACAAAATCAATTCTAAATTTGTATCAATAAACTAAAATTTATAGCAATGTAAAACATTTTCAAACAAGTTGCTTTTTAAAAGTAGGTTCAACAATCAACCCTTTTATCCTATCATTTCTATATTCCATATTTCTATATCATATTTTCCTTTCTTCTTTTAGAAAGATATTGACTATGACCAATAACAATTTGTAACCAACAACGTAAACAATGTCAAACATCCATAATCCATTTTTTGGGAATGTGGGAGTAGTTTTCTAGGCTATTTCCTGTTGATCAATGGCACTGTATTCTTATGGGGATCCTGAGAAAATTAAAAATAATGGTCAAGTCCTGACTGGAATAGTCTCTGTTGCTGTATTCTCTGAGCCAGTTGCCTTGAAGCTGTTCTGGATATTGGATTATCTGGGCCATGGTGTCATCAGAGACCTTTCAGGAGACCTTGGCTGGTCAAACCATATTAGCCTGGAAGCAATTCACAGGTTCTCATCTTCTGCCTCAGTCTCTGTGAGTTCATATGAGCTTAGATCATGATGATTTAGGGGGCCTTGTTTTCTTGGTGTCCTTCATTCCCTCTTACACTCTTTCTGACTCTTCTATAGAGTCCCCTGAGCCCCAAGGGGAGGGATTGAGGGAGACATCCCATTTAGCGCTGAGTGTTCCAAGGTCTCCCACTCCCTACTTGATGTCTGGCTCTTTCTGTTCCCATCTGCTGCAGCAGGAAGCTCAGTGATTCTAGTTTTCTTCACCATGAGGTTTTCTATTGTAACACCAACCCAAAATTGACTTTTAACTGAGGTTTTTCTCAGCTAGCATATGTAACTTCAGGCCGTCTTTCATGACCCCAAGATTCAATACTCTACAGAGGTATAATTTCATTTATTAGTGTTTTAAGGGACAGGAAACAGTCGTACAAAGCCAAGCATGATACAACTGTGCCCATTCAGACCACTGACACCTAATGGTACTATTTTAACAACAGATTTTTATAAAAGTAGAAGCAGTGTGTCACTTGCCTTAACCTAATCCACTGCATTGCTGCTGACATTATAAATGTTGACACACATGGATTAAATAACGTTTCCTTTAACAACTGAAATAAGGCAGTCTGTATACAATATGGGAAGGCCTCATTTCTCTTTTGTGTCCCCTCGGTGTCTAACTCTGGCAAGGATGAGCATCTGAGAGAGAGCGCCAGTGATGCAAATGTGTTTTATACAGAACTAAATGTCCATGATTTGATAAGCTACTTCCTTGTCATAATATAGTTCCTGTGGCAAATGTATCATGCTTCAAAGCAATCTCATTTATTCTGTAGAGCTTCAGAAAATAACAGCATGAAGACAGTCACTTTCTCAACACCCATACGGGAAGGCAGAGCCTGTTTTGTTTCTGAACAAATATATCTCGAAGATAGCAACCAAGTTGCAGCATATTCAAGGAAAAACCTGAAGAGACTTCTCAAAAGGCGAAGGACAGAACCGTTATAGCTAAGTGTCATTAAAGAAAGACAAACCAAGCAAGGTAAGGAAGGAAGGGGTATGGGCGAGTTACAAGAGAGCAGGGAAAGAAGACAGATGTTTGCCAATGGGACGCAGCAAAGTCCCAGGTAAGAGCATTTGCGCTCAGGTTGACTAAGAGCATTTTCTGTTTCTTTTGTTCTAATCAAACAAGGAGTGACATTTTTAAGGACACTGTGAGACACAGGAAAAAGAGGACACTGAAGTACTTTGCAGGTCTCAAGGCTGAACTGTTTTACTGAGAGAGGGTTGATCCAGCTCTGAGAGCTGTTGCCAAGAATGACATGCACATTGCTGAGGGAGACATTCAGACCTTTTAAGTTTCCACCCAATTCAAACAAAAACCAGGACACGATCAACATAACAAAAGATGTGCGGATTACCTAATAGAACATTCTACCGCATTCGTCAGAAGCCTTTCTCTCTTTAGAAGCCGGTCCTCCACAAGCAGTTAGAAGTCTTGCAGAGCTAATGAAAACCATCATCAAAGGAGTGCTTACATCCTCATTCATCTGCAGAAGTGGAGGCTGGGCCACCTACTGGATGTGCTGAGCAGCTGCAAGGAAATGTCCATTTTAAAATACCTTCCTCAGGGACCTGTGGCTCTGCAAGACATTCACCACAGCCCCGGGCACCAGGGCTGAAGAGCAACGGAGACAGCCAAAGAACATGCAAGTCCACTGTATCTTTCTTCAGCGACTGAGAGGGAGAAGAGGTACGCATGTGAGCATCTTTGTTGCCACCCAGAACCCAGCCATCTAGGCCAGGGGCTGTCGTCCGATAGTCAGCCACCGACAGGCTGGACAAGAATCCCCAAACCGGCCAAACAGAAAAGCAATCCAGACTGGTAGATCTCCACTTAGGGGTAAACACACCCATACTTACTATTTCAGGACCTTAACAGAGAGAATTCAAGGAATTGTGACCAGAGCTGTCGAGCTGCAAGCAAGGCATGATGCCATGGACAAACGTGAACACCAAGGCAGAGAGAAGGAAAGAGGGGTGATGGAAAGAGGGGTGACGGAAAGAGGGGTGATATAAAGCAGTATTTCTCAACCTATGGGTCACACAGCCCCTTTGGGGTATCTAATGACCCTTTCGCAGGGGCCACCTAAGACCACTGGAGAACACAGATATTTACATTACGATTCAGAACAGTAGCAAACTTACAGTTAAGAAGTAGCATTGGCCGGGCGGTGGTGGCGCACGCCTTTAATCCCAGCACTCGGGAGGCAGAGGCAGGCGGGTCTCTGTGAGTTCGAGGCCAGCCTGGTCTCCAAAGCGAATACCAGGAAAGGCGCAAAGCTACACAGAGAAACCCTGTCTCAAAAAAAAAAAAAAAAAAAAAAAAAAAACCAAAAAAAAAAAAAAAAGAAGTAGCATTGAAAATAATTTTATGGCTTGGGGATCACCACAACGTGAGGAACTGTATACTGTATACACTAAGGGGCGGCAGCATTAGGAAGGCAGAGAACCACTGATGTAAATTCTGAGTAACTGAGGCAGAGGAATTGTGCCTTTTCCTTAGAAAAGTAGATGACTCTAACATACTTGTTTAAAAAGATACAAATGATTTTTCTTATCTATCAGCACTTTTATTTCAGTTGTATTTGTCAACTTTTAGAAACCTCAATGTCAGCTCTAGCCTGGATTGCTGCAGTAAGTGGCTAATATTTATTGCTCAGGTACATGCAGTGCTATTCTAATTGAATATGAACATATTAACCCATTCCTATCATTATTAGTATTTTATATGTTGGTAAGAAAACAGGGTTAGAAACAGCTTGTCTAAAGTCATATATACTGGCAACACAAAGAGGGGGTATTTTAGGACCTTTCTGACACGCTAACAAAGTACCAGCGACTGGGAGTTTATAAACAATTGAGACATACATTTTTGTTGGGAGCCATACCAACTGAAGCCTTTCTCAGAGGCCCCCATGAAAGGTTAAAGGGAATGTGAGTTATGTGTTTTGCAGGCGCAGACTTGGCAAGGTCCAGGCTGGGGCTGGGGCTGAAGCCTGGCCTGGTTAAACTTTTGATTCCTGGAATCATGGCTTTCTCCCCTGGAGGGCTATGGTTATCAGTCCTAAGGCAGCTGTGTCTGTGGTACCCCATGTTCTCTTTACCAAAATTGTCTAATTTAGCTATCTGTTGACCTTGGCCCCGCCTCCCCCTACAAAATATATATATATATATATATATATATATATATATATATATATATATATATATATATATAAAGATGAAGTACTTAATAACCTTGCTTGACATAATTCATTAGTTTGTACATGACTCCCCGGTCTCAGCCATGTGTCTTCTTTATTTCTCATCCCTGGACCTCTCCTCTACACCTCACCATCCAGGATCCATATTCTTGTGGGTACAGGTCACATTTCACAGTTCTGGAGGGTAAAAAGTCCACGATCATGTTGCCAGCATTGCTCTTTGCTTCCAGGATGACAGCTATTGCTGCCACCCCCACAGGGGACATCATAATCTATGTCCTCCCATGCCCAAAGGGGATGGACAAGGACAGAAGGACAAAGGTACCTTTTCTAACCATTTTAGCAATTTGCTAAAGCCATTCAAGAAGGCTTATGACTTATCACTCCTAATCGCTTTACTACTTTATAATATTGATTGGGGTTTAAGCTATAATGCAAATTTTGATGGTTATGTAAATATCAAAATTATAATTGTTAAGATGTGAACCCATATAGACTGGTTTTAAAGGTAGTACTCTTAATATATTAGTTCTCTGCTATCCTAAGCTAAACCATTTCCTGTTCACTATAGGAAAATTTTCTAATAACTTATCCTGACATGAAAGTGTCCAATCAGCTAACTCAAAGTTGCTTGTATGGATTCCACGACTTTGATCATTTATAACCCTAGTCTCTACCACATACCTTCTCTGTAGGACAAGGCCCGTCCTCCCCTACACAGACCCCTTCCTCTCTGTAGCTGATGCTGTCCTCTCTATCTCTTCCTCTTTCTCATTTCTAGCTCTATCTGTATATCATTTCTATTTCTGTCTCTTACCTTTCTCCATGCTGAAATTGGAACTACTTACTGGATGAGTTGAGGGCTCTCACATCAAACTGTATACAAAGATTCCCCCAATTGCGTTGGTCTCATACATCTGAATTCCCTGCAGAATCCAGGGTGGATAAACAATGTGATTCCTCCAGCCTGTGTTCTAAGTGCTTATTTAGCTCCCAGCTGAAGAACAAGGCAAAAGAAATTTAGTTCTGAGCTCAGTGAGCATGGTTTGACTCTCAGATAATTTATTTATTTTCTTTTATGACAGATTCCATTTTCTGCTGCTGGCATGATTACACGGGAACACATTTGTTCACTGAGAGTACATTTGTGTCATTTGCATGGGCTAACTCAGTGGTAGCATTTAATTTTTGCAATATCATTCACTTATCAGACCAAAACCAGTACATGTTCAGAATGACTAAGTGTACTGAAATGTTATTATAAGATTCAGCCTTGAGAGGCAGGAGGAGTGCCAATGCTTAGCTCGAGATTGCCTCATTATCGTTGAAGCATGGCTCTCACTGAGACGATTCATTTTCTGGGGGAAATTTGGGTTTGGAGAGGTGAGAATATGTGCTCTATCAGAAACGATGTATTTCTGGGTTGGTTACTGCGGTGGTAGAAAAATGAAATTCTTGCATAGGAAAGCTGGCTAGGAATATGCTAAGAGTAAGTAGGGAGTTGGATTAGGAAATCTCCTCAAAGGGGGCTGTCACCCTGGAGGTGTAATTAGTTGTTGGAACGGTACAATCTAGGCTGAGATCAGAGTCTTCTTGGATATGTATATGACTAGGTTAAAGTAAAGGTAAGACATATTCAAAATACTTATAAATACTGTTCCCCCTTATTTGTAAACAAAATTTGCAAGATGATTTCTATCAATTTGGGGGATAAATTTCCTCTCAACCCGGCCCTAAAAATAGCAAACTTTGGCTAATGTAATTTTAAAAATTAAAGATGATCAATCAGCCACCATCAATTCCAGAAGCCCTCACCAGTCTCTTTTTAAGACAATCAGCATCATTAATTGAACATCTAGTATGTCCAAGTCACTATCTTATAAACAGAATGCTAAGAACAAAAATTGACCAAAAAAGACAAAGCACATAGTTATCTCCAATGTTCTTACTATCCCCATTTTCTAATCATCTTGTTAGGGTGAAGAAGCAAACATACATAGGTTCTTTTTGAAAATGCCCACTAAGATTCCCTAACCACACTCCACCATCACGCTATACACAGACACAGCACAAATGATGCTTGGACTTGCTTGGAGGAGGAGAAGCAGAGGCTGCCTGGCTTTCTATCTGCTTCTGATGCTTGCAAAGGCCACCCGGAGCTCCTGAACTGGATCTGAACATACACACATTGAGGGGACGACTTCCCACCCTTGTGACATGCGACGTGCCATGTCCTTCACACAAGGTATTCCAAAGGTGTGCTTTCTTCAAGAACATGCATGTCGGCTCATCGTTTCAGAGTTTTACAGCATGTGCTGGCTTCGAGTGTGGGCCTGCGGACTGCACAATAACATGGTAGAAAGCTTCACATGGAGACCAGGAAAGACATGGCAGAGAGAACCCTTTTTATTGTATTTTAGATAACAAAGCCATCCCCAGTAACCCACAAGTCCATTAATCTAAGAATAGATTAAGCCATTGGTTAGGGCAAAGCCATGTTGAATCTAAGATCTCTAAAGAGTCTGACTTCCAAATACCATCAGCAAGTGAATTTGGGGATTAAACTCCAAAGACATGGACGTTTGGAAACATGCCAATCCCTAGGCCTCGGTAACAGTCTTTCAGAGAGGACTTTTAGAGATGCAAAATGTTTGGGCTATGAGGTCCTCTGCGTTTAACACTCATCTTCAGGTTGCCCAGCCCATTGTCCATTATTTTGGAGGCCAGGCTAGACTGAAAGTTCTTCATTGGTATTTTCTGTGGTGAAATATCTTTTCCTTGCAACCCCAAAGAGTTTACCCTCTGTTAGCAACAAATTAGTTTTTAAACTGTGTATTAACTTGACATAAGTATAAAATATATATCAACAAACTAAACAAACGACTCATTTTGAGAGTCACAGATAATTACTAAAATCTATTTTGAAATGCTGAAACAGGTGAAAACAGCTAGCAATACTGTTACTTTCAGATTTTCCCAATTTGTGTTTTATACAGATTAAATGAGGCATACATTTAACAAATCACTTACCCTTTGCATAGCAGTTATTTGTTTTGGATTCTATCAACTTTTCCTTAGGTTTAGATACCATATTCTAAATGAGTTATTTCATAGAAAAAAATGTCTAAAAATTACTTCCAATACTTACTTAATATTACTAAAGCATCATAACACACTTCAAGTTATAGGCAATATTTTTTCCTATGATCTACGGTTTTCCCTCTAAATTAATACTGGTGGTATAAAACAGCTTTCAGTCTTTATTTTCATGTTTTCCTTTTTAGTTGTGCCTTACAGATGTTGTTGAGATCTGCAACTTGACCTTTCTTTGAAATTAATGGTCACATAGTGACTGTAGGTCTGATTCTAGCCATATCAATATTTGCTTGGCTGGAGAAATGTTTTCATCTGTTTGCACATGATCTATTTTCTAGTTCTCTGGAGGTCTTACATATCCTTTGCAATTCATTCTATGAGAAGGAAATTTCCAGAGCAGACTGCAAATCCACAGTGTCCTCTAGGAGTGAGGCGGGAGGCCACTGTCACAGTGAGGACACCAGCTGGCCACACAGAACTTTCTGCCATTATTTTCCATGCGAATGGCATATAGCAGAGTATTTTCAAGTTGACAATTAAAATAAAATTAATGCTCATTCCAATTTTGATGGTAAAATTAACTCATTTTACTTAAGTCTTAAGGCAGTTATATACTGGTGGTATTAATAATTTCATATTTCTGAGCAAATTACTCAGCATGAAAGACATCTTTTACTCAAGCTAGTTAATAAAATTCTCAGTTGATGCCAAGGAAAACAAATAGCTCAAGGGCACATCCGAATAAAGGGCTAATTGCTGTGTTGTACTCAAAGAGGAGCTACATAGAGAGTGTTCTCGATAGTCGGTCCTGTGTCTTCTACAGATAAACTACATTTCTAGTTTCAG